GTGGCGTTATCCGACCAGATAGTTTTGGGCTTTCCACGTAGACTTACGAATCGTTGTAAAGCAGCTAGAAACGCAGACGTTGATAAATCCTTGGCTAGTTCCATGTGGATCGCCTTGGTAGCGAAACAAATAAATATACATATATAACACTTCGTGGGAGGCCGGTTTCGAACTTCAGCGTTATAATAAAATGGGCCACAGAAATCAACCCCAGTGGTTAGAAATGCACGCGCTGCCTGCACCCTTTCTTTGGGAAAGTCAGCCATAATATGCTCCATAAGCCTTGGCCTGCAGCGGAAACACACAATACATTTGTTGACTACATATGATACCGTTTTGCGTCCACCTATGGGCCAGTAATGTAAACGAATAGAAGCTAGGAGAGCTTGTGGTCCAGCATGTAATAGTTTTTTGTGAAAATAATTTATTATAGAGACGGTCAGCGGATGCCGTTTTGGAAGCAAGATGGGGTGACGTGAGTTGAAATCCAAACCTGCATTTTTGAGTCGCCCTCCGACACGAAGTAATCCAAAATCGTCCAAGAATGGTGATAACGAAAAAAGAGAGCTGGATGAACAAATCGGTTGTTTTCGTTGGAGTGTGGTATACTCGGTAGAAAAGTGAACTCTTTGAATCATTCGTAAAAGATAGAAGGTTCCTTTCTGAATATGTAACGTCGACAATATGCTTGAGTGATCTTTACTGAGGAATTTGTACACATAGCCATAAATACGCTGCATTGTAGCGAATGAATTTATATACTTGCAGTCAGAAGACATGTCGAAAAATGCATGCGTTGAAAGTAATATACTTTTACGCATCTCAGGTAGACCTTTTACTTGCGCACATGACGTTGGCCAAGTGGTTGATGGTTGAGATAAAAATGATGGGCCATGCTTCCATAACGATGATTTGAGCAGCTCCGTGGCGGTAGCACCTCTCGATAATATATCTGCTGGGTTGAGCGCTGATGGAACATAACGCCAATCCATTCCCTTTGTAAGCTGTTGGATACTGCTTACTCGATTTGCAACAAAAACATTAAAGCGTAAAGGTTCCTCCTTCAGCCATGACAGAACTATACTGGAGTCAGACCAGCAGTAAAACTTGCAATCGAAAATGTCGAGCTTTGAAATTGCTTGCACAACTTGTGCAAGTAATGTGGCACCACTTAGCTCCAATTTCGGTACGGTGAGTGTTTTGAGAGGCGCGACCCGAGATTTCGAGCAGAGAAGAGAAGTTTGTGCATTGCATTTATTGATCGAACGTATATACACACATACTCCATATGCCGACATGCTAGCATCGCAAAATGCATGTACTTCGTTTGTAGCGTCTGGCATGGAAACGAAACGAGGAAAACAAAAACCTTTGACTGACTCAAGTTCATCATATAGCTGCTGCCAGGCAGTATGAAGAGAAATTGGCAAACTCTCATCCCAATTGACCTTCTCCATCCACAGTCGCTGCAGAAATATTTTCGCCTTACAAATTGTTGGTCCTATCAGGCAGCTTTTCTAACGAGAATGAAAATAAAAATATGTCTGTTTGAGGATTCCATACAAGCCTAAGCGTTTTCGTAATGTCACTTCCGTCATCAAATTTTAAAAAACTTTCTTTATCCTCGACAGCAATTTGAGAGGGCACATCTTTCTCACTTGAGCACCATTTTCGAATTTGAAAGTTGCCCTTCGCCAACAACTGAGTTGTTTGTGCAACAATAGCTCTTGCATCGTCAACAGTCTTTGCGCCAGTAATCAAATCGTCGACATAAAAGTCGCGTAAAACAATTTGAGACCCAAGAGGAAATGATTTTTTCTCATCAATGGCGAGCTGATGCATTGTACGTATAGCAAGGAACGACGCTGGCTTCGTGCCATAAGTGACTGTTTCGAGTTTAAAAGTTTTAATTTCGCTGTTTGGATCGTCTCTCCATAGTATACATTGTAAATAGTCATCAGGGGATGTAACGCGAACGCACCTATACATTTTACATATGTCACCAGTTACAGCTACGGGATGAGTACGAAAACGAATGAGAATATCAGCCAGCTTGGGTTGAATCGTCGGCCCAGCCATCAAAATTTCATTGAGCGAGTATCCAGAAGAGCTAGCTGCTGAGCCGTCAAACACAACACGAAGCTTTGTTGTTGTATTGTCGCTTTTGAATACGCAGTGATGAGGTAAATAATAAACCTTTGTATTTGTGATTGGGTGCTCAACAAAAGACATGTGCTTTAGTTGTGCATACTCTTTAATGAATGCTGAATACTGAGCCTTCACTACAATATTACGCTGAAGTCGGCGTTCAAGAGATAGAAACCGTCTCAGTGCTTGCTCATATGAATCCCCGAGTAAATCGAGGCTATGCTTTAGTGGTAAACGAACACAGTACTCTCCAGTATCTAAGCGATGATAATTGTTTTTAAAATGCTCTTCACACTCCATCTCTTCCTTTGTTGTTTTTGCGATAGGTTCGAAGCAGTTGTCTACTTCCCAGAATGAACGAACTATTTGGCTCAATGATTGTTGTTGTTCTTCGCTACCGATTAACGCAGCTGCTAGCGATGACGAAATTGATGATTTCTGCTGGCCACCCGAAACAACCCAACCCAAACGGGTTTTTTGCAAAACGTATGGTATATTTTTTAACCGAATTTGTCCAACACATAATAGGTCAAAGAATATCCCAGCCCCAAGCAACATATCAACACGCTGAGACTTAAAAAACAATGAATCAGCAAGCTTTATATTGGCAGGTAGCTTCCAGTCGGATGTACCAAAGGAATAATTAGGTTGACTGTCAGTAAAGGTGGGAGTAACCGCAACTGTAACTCGTTGAGTAGTCATTATGCATGGACTTAAATGTTATGTTAGCGCAGTGGCTAATTTTAAGGTCTGATTCGCCAATACCTGAGACGGAGTACGAAAATTTCGACATTTTCAAATCTACTTGGTTAGCAAACCTGGATGTGACAGCTTGTGCAGCTGACTCAGGTTTCTCATCGGGCGTGCAATCAGTGGTTGACTGTTGAGCCGGAATGAAATGCAAGAGAGTATGGTGCTGGGATAGGCAGCGACGACAATTGGAAGATTTACATTGCTGAGCTTGAGTGAGTTTAATAAATGACGGACACGTGTAAATAGAATGGTCTTCCTTTTTGCAAAATGTACACACTTTGTGCGTGGATTTTGAAACTACAAGCGATTTTTTCTGATACTGTGTTTTGCTCACCTTAGCGCTAGGTGTATTCTGTACCGTAGCGAAATTAATGCTCTCCAATGTTTGACACCTTTTCTCAAGAAAAGTTTCCATACTCTCCCACGTAGGTATGTTGCTGCATGCGGCTGATTCTTCCCACTTTGTTTGCGTAGATGGATCCAGCTTTTGAGACATGATAAGGATGAGTAGACAGTCGGCTATTTGTATCTTGCTCCCTAGGGTCTGAAGTGCTCGAATGTGAGACGTGAATTTGTCAACAAGTACGCGAAGACAACCCACAGTGTTGGCTTCTGCACTTTTAAGTTCAAATAATTCGCGAATGTGAGCCTGAAAAATAAGGCATTTATTATCAAAGCGACTTTTAAGTAAATTCATAGCCTTGTCGTAATTGCTTTCGCGTATTTCCAGGGAACGAATGACATCTAAAGCGCTGCCCTTTAAACAGGACCGCAGGTGCTGGAATTTTTCTATCTTCGTAAGCTCTGGCTCATTATCGACCACAGTTTGAAACATTGAAATGAAATTTGGCCACTCCGTGAAGGCACCTGCGAATGTTGGCAGCTGAAGATCGGGCAAACGCGATTTATTTTGCTTTAATACAACCACTGACTGGGAATCATGCGGAGAAAATACTGCTGTGGACGAATGAGCATGTGGCTCTATGCGTTGTGATTTTAGTTCACGAGTGATTGCTGCCTTTATGGAGACATAGATGGCGAGGAAATCAGTACGGCTGCTACTATCCAGTTCATCAGGATTTTCTTCTTCCAAGCCAGTCTGGGCGGCCTCGAAATTGCCCAGTATGTGATCCAGAAGCTCGATGCGCGTCGAAAGTTCTGCATGGTCCATGGCCTGAAGCGCTTCATTTGTACTTTGGCGCTGAATAGTCACGATTTGTCGAAATATAGCGTCACACTTTCTTTTTAAAAAAGAATTCTGCGGCCGCGGAGTATCACCCAATGTTACGTCTTGATCGGTAGGCATTTAGAATAATGGATAGCGAAAAAAGAACTTGCAAAAGAAAACCCGTGTTTAAGTGAACGGTGAAATCATATGATTTGGCAGACTGTGATGCTGCCTGCGAATCTCGATTAACGCGCAAATCGCGTTACACAATGCTTGTTTTTGTCTAACGTGTCACCAAATGTGATCACGTCGGGGTCACCAATGTTTAAAGTCAGGAGACTATTTTGTCTTGACTGTACAAATGTCTTTATTCAACAGAATCCAAAATTAGAGCGCTCGAAAAACTTTACTGTGCATGTAATTTATACTACTTAAATATTGTTTGTTCAAAGTATGTATGCATATGCTGGCTTGAATTCAAAACAGGAGCTTAGATAACTAACAGTATTTCAAATTGCTTTTTAGTTTGAGAGAACAAATGCTGAATAGATAAAAGCTTAACTATGTACATATGTACGTCGGCGTATTAGGGTGGCACTTAGAGGCTCTTCACAAAACAATAGTTATTCCAAATTTTTACTGGATGGCGTTCGATAACGACAAAAAAATATCCAACACACAAAAATTGAGAGAGCAAGCGTTCATTTTGATGCAAGAGAATCGTTCATTTTATACTGGCAAAATTTTAGTCAGCAAAAATTATCCAACACAAAAACATATGATCACAAAACATATGGTTGCAATTTTTGTAAACAAACCAAATTGCATTTTTCGAGTTTTGGTTTTATATGCTTTTTGGCTGCCTGCTATGTGACTTTATGATATTGCCAACTAGTTTTTAATTCTAGAAAAGTTCCTGGCGAACATTGAACGTTCACTTTCCTTTTTTCTTCCATGGAGGCAACATGAATTTCAGTTTGTTTACAAATAAAACATAAACAAAGTCAGCTGGTGTGTCTTCTTCTTTCGGTTTTTGCAAGTGATGGCTAATTTTCTGTTCGTTTACTTTTTTGCTTTTTCTTCTCTTTAGGAGAGAATTTTCGCTTACGCTCTTGATTTTGATTGTTGGCTGGTGTTGGCTAATTTTGTTATCGAACGCAACTAATAATTTGCAATGTTTTTACACTTTTGCAATTAATTTCGGTCATTATTACACAGTCATGACTTGTGCCACTCTGCCATAGTACGGCTGTTGATCCCACAGTAATTTTGTATACAACTCTGAATGAACAAAATGCATGCTCCTTTTCATTATCAACCCTGATCAGATTTTACCCCCGAGGAGTACTCAAAAAGGTTTATTACTGTATATACTGTGAGTAGCATAGACAATATATAACAGCAAGGAAATGTCTGTTTCGCTTCATGCAAATTCTGCAAAAAACAAAACTCAACAATGTTAGTTCAACAGATCAACATTCAGTCAATCCAATTAGATTTTAATAACGCATACATATGTACATAAGTATGTTCAAATAAGAATTGATATGGTAGAATAATTAAGCCCTGTTTTTTATGGGAATCCTGCCTGTGTCTAGCCGAATACCATTTTTCCAACGCTGTAGTGGCATGCACAAACAACAGCAAATCAATGATGTACATATGTGTGTCTATTTGTTGGGCTTCATGGGAATCCGGCACATTGTTTTCGCGAAGTTAATAAATTAGCAAGTGCGTTAAAGGCTGAGTTTTTTGGCTTATACAAAGTGGAATTTCGTTACTAAATACAAAAAAAATCTAACATAACAGAACAGTGCGAAGTGTTTAAAAATGCCTAAAGCTTAAATAAATTTGCCAAGACAAACGAGAGCCGCAAGGGCAATGGCCGGTAATCGGAGAATAGCAGCGGCGGCGCGAATAGAAACGATGCCTGCAACCGGAATTAGATCTGCGTTTATTTATCGACCTCAAATCAATTTAAAAGTGGATTTTTACAATAAAAGTATATCTACACATATCAGTGCCGTACCTATCAGTGTCAGTGAAAAATATAATATCGTTGCCCCAGTCCCAAATAGAGTTTTTCAGACCGTCCGGCACATTGCCGTATTTTACCGTCAGTGCTGCTTCAGTATTCGTTCCGCAATTTTTTTTACACTCTAAAAACTGCATGTAAAACTGCTACTGGAAAGTGTTTATTTTCAAATAAAATCTGTGTATACGCATAAGATGTTCAAGACTGGATTTTTGAACATGAGATTTTTTAAAATATGCACATGAAGTGTTTAAAATTGCCAACGTTTTTAACGTAAAAATACATTCCCTACTAAAAATAAAAATTAAGTAAATGTTTTGTGTCATTTTTCTCTACGCGACAAATTTGGTATGTAAAAGTAAACAGGCAGTGTTTAATTTTATTAACACGGTGTCTAAACTTGCACACATTAGGAGAGGAAACTGGTAACCTCTCTTAATATGCGTTAATTTAAACAAAAAACTTTTAGAGCAAATTTTAAACACTTTATGTGTAAACTGTGTAATTGTGAACACTAAGAAAACTCGATAGAGATTTTTTTTATTTAAGTTTAAGTAATGTTTAACTATACTTTAAAATAGTTAAATTAACGGCCCTAAGGGCTAAATTCACAGTGCTGTACTGAAAACCTGTAGTTAACTGAAGATTCTGAGTTAACTACGCACTGTGGATTTGGCCTTGAGTGTTTAGAATTCAAGAAACAAATTTCAAATTTGTTCTACGCCACACGTATGATCAGTAAAAGTAAAAAAAGCAGTATTTAAATTGACTAACACGTCGTGTAAATTTGCATACATTAAGAGAGGAAACTGGTTACCTTTTTTAATATGCTTAAATTTAAACAAATGTTTTTTAGAGTGTAGTTAACTCGGCAAAGATTTGTTTGTGTATTTCCCTGACGAGCTGACGGTATTCTATTGCAAATTTTGTTTAATATGGAGGGAAAATTAATCGAGTTGGTACGGAATTATACAGAGTTATATAATATGGCAATAATTGACAACTGATCATTAGTAAAATAAGCAGTGTGACCGTTTTGATCCAAGTGGATCAAAACTGATACCTTTTTCGATAAATTTTGCAGAGATACATTTTTTGTTAATTTTGATACTTTTCCAAATACAAATGAAAAAAATCTGTAAAGTTTTATGCATTACAAAACATGTCGTGCACCTGTGGCAACGTACATCCAAAAGTTCATTGTCGTTCTCTGAACGAACCTTTCATGTATTGTGATTCATGGTCCATGTCGAAAAACGTCAAAATGTGAACAAACGAACAGTATCATTGCGCTGAATTTTTTTTCATTTTCGCTATGTTCAACAACAAAAACTAGGGCTTGGTACTCGGTAATTCGGTGCTCGTTAAGGCCCTGTTTCCACAGGAAAACACCAATGTCGTAATAACCATGTCACAAAATAAATATATTTTCAATGGATGCCGCCTTATTGCTTGACATCTATTGCAGGCAATTTGATAGTTTGACAGCCATATTTTCACTGGTGGTTATATCGATGAAATATTGATATCAAATCAAAATGTTCCCTATTGGATTATTTATGACAACGTTTTAGGAAGTTATTCAGTAAGTTTGTTTAAGGTTTAAATGTTTTTTAACACCGAAATTGAGAGAGGCGGCGTCATGCGGCAAATGCTTACATGTACATATCAAGACATCAAAGTGCCCACACACAACAGTTGGTAGGTAATAAAAATTGCAAGGTGTAACTGCAACTGAAATTACGCAAATCGCATTCGGGAAGTAATTTCAACTTGCTCGTGCAATAAGTGTTAAATTGTTTTGGAAAATGGTTTTTCATAAAAATTATTGGTTTTATTCCATATTGATGCTTTGATACTTAAATGAAAAAAGTGATATATATTGATACATTTTAAGTCTCTTTTCTGCTAAAATTTTTCACAAGCCCGCGGTCTAGGCATGGATAACACTGCGCTGCGCGGCGCAATTGCGTTAACACCGTAGCCGGAGTTGCCGCGCCAACACCAGTATAAGGAAAGCGCCAGCGCCATTAACACCAGGGTCCGAAAATAAACTATATTGTACGTTACTATTTCGATTCGTTTATTACTTCAACAGTTCAGTACAATACGAAAACAAAACGGCTGAGTTCACTTTGGTGATAGTACACTACAGTAGTTTAGCAGTTACAGACGAAACAACAAACGAAATGAATCGTGCAGAGAAAAATATATGTATGTATGTACACATATGCAATAACTAAACACAAAACGAATGGCTGCAATAAATAAAAAATAAAAATGTTTTTTAATTGAATTGGATATGAAAATTTCCTGAAAAATATATTTTTCACGTAATCGAAACGTTTTTGATATCACCCTATGGTACAATTGTCACAAACGAAAAGCAAACGTTTCTCGTTGGGGAAAATGACAGTGAATCTTACAATTTGTTTCTGACCATGAT